ACTGCTTTATGTGACAAAAAAAAAAAATGTATAGGATACCAACTTGGTGGTGTCTATGTGCCGTGGAGTCGGCTCTGACTCACAGTGACCCTGTAGAGGGTTTCTAAGGCTGTAAATCTTTACAGGAGCAGAAAGCCTCTTCTTTCTCCCATGGTACAGTTGGTAGTTTCGAACTGGTAACCATAAGGTTTGCAGGCCGATTCATAACCACTATGTTACCAGAGCTCCTTAGAATACCACTTGGTCAACAGAAAAGAAGAAAAGGTCAGGGGTAGGGGAAATTTAGGCAGATTAATGGAAACAGAACAAACAGAAGGAAAATATTGAGAATGTTGACATAATGCGAAAAAAAAACAACAACATTTCAATGCATAGTATGTATAGAAAAAATTAAGTAGAAACTTAATTTGCTGTTGTAATAGATTGCATTGTGTTCACAAAAAATATTTGTAAGCTTGGGTGGACTATGATTTTCAGTGTTTGACAGTTATGAAATTATCGCTCATGATCACCTGATATGATAAACCACTAAAAGGATCAATAGTGGTACACACCACCCTAACTCCTCCAGGACAGTGAATCATGAATTGGAGATTCCCAAGGGTGAGGCATGTCACACCTTTTATCTTACAAGAACTAAAAAGAGAAAGATGGGAGCAATGAAAGAGGGAACAAATGGAAAGTTTACAGGTAATTTTAAATTCAGACTTCTAGTCTACTAACTGTGTAAGTATAAATTTCTTGTTGTTAAAGACATCCACTTGTGTTATTTCTATTATAGCATTACAAAGACAGCTGTACACATTTTCACCAAAGGAAAAAATCAGTAATATAATATGTATAGATAGATAGATAGATAGATAGATAGATAGATAGATAGATAGATGATAGACAGATCGATACATACATACATACATACAAAATATATGTAAAGTTTTCTTAAGTGCCATCAATTCGGTTCCAACCCATAGTGACCCTGTATAGAGTTTCTGAGGAATAGCTGGTAAAGTTGAAACACCAACCTTGTGTTTCAAACCAACCTTGAAGTCCAGTGTATTTATCCACAGCGTCACACCAGGACCCACTGTCTCTTCCTATCTACATATATGTATATATATTGTTGTTGTTGTTATGTGCCTTGGAGTCGGTTCTGACTCATAGTGACCCTGTACAGGGTTTCCGAGGCTATAAATGTTTATGGGAGCAGAAAGCCTCATCTTTCTCCTGCAGAACAGCTGGTAGTTTTAAACCGCTGACCTTGTGGTTCTCAGCCCAATTCATAACCACTACGCTACCAGAACTCCATATATATGTGTGTGTATATATATATATATATATATTCCTGATATGGGGATGTAGGATCAGCAGTGGACTGCAAAGTACATGATCAGTAATTCAAACCAACCAGCTGTTCCTTTGAAACCCTGTGCAGGTCACTGTAAGTCAGAATTAATGTGATGGCATTTAGCAACAACAACAACAGGTATATACATAAACTGTAGGATAATACTGAACAGCAAGGTCATTTGAACTGCAAGGTTGGTGGTTCAAACTCATGAACTACTAGGAGAAAATCCTGTACAGGATCACTGTAAGTAAGAACCAACTGGACCGCACTGCACAACAACATATATACATATACACATTGATATAGATATACAATATACTATATAATTGTGTGTGTATATGTACAGTGCTGTAGAATCGATTCCAACCCATAGCGACCCAGTATAGGATTTCCAAGGAGAAGCTGGTGAGTTTGAACTGCTGACCTTGCAGTTCAAATATCTTTGCCGTCTGGCACATTAACCCATAGTGCCACACCAGGACACTCTCTCTCTCTCTCTCTCTCTCATTCTCTTTCTCTCTCTCTCTCTCTCTCTCTTTAGATATAGATATAGATTGTATATCTATATAAATGTGTATATAAAAATAGAGTCCTAGTGTGACACTGTGACATAAGCAATGGATCACAAGCTCATTTGAATCACAAGGTCAGCGGTTCAAACTCATCAGCTGCTACTCAAAAATCTTATACAGGTGAGCTGGTCAAAACTAACGATATTACTTTAATAAAAACATATAGAAATAACTCTAATTAGATTTAGTCAAATAGATCTTATTTCATTGTGAATACTGGTAACAAGGATTAATTCACTGACCAAAGTCAGACTTAGGTTGCAAATTTAGGTCTTTAGTTGGACACTTGCAATTTAGGAATATAGAAAAATAGCAGAGATTTTTATTTATTTATTTATTTGTACTTTTAATGTTTTTATCTTTAACCGTCCCTTATTAGATAGGGGAGAAGGGGAAAAAGTTTAAAAATTACTTACTGACTTAAATCATTAATTCCTAATATAGCCACACTCCTCTTTGCTTCATATTTTTACCAGAGAAGAAGCCTTTTATGTTGACACACACACACATACAAACACACACACACACACTGAATTTAATAGTGGAAAATATGAGGGGAATTCTAGCTTGACAGGATTTTATGTATCTCGTAGAAACACACAAAAACATTGCTATCAAGTCAATTTAATCTCACAGCCACCCCGTGTGTCACAAAGTAAAACTGTTACATATGGTTTTCTTGGTAGAAATATTTACAGAAGCAGGTGTTCCTTTCATTGTTCCCATGGGTGCATTAGAACAGTCATATTTTAAGATAGTAGTCTAATAAAAAAAATTGTAACACCCTGCATATATCAATCATTCCTTAATAATTATAAGATTTCCATATGGAATACAAATATGTTATCAAGTAATTGTTGTTGTTAGGTGCCATCGATTCAGTACCTACTCATAGCAGCCCCATGCATGACAGAATGAAATATTGTCCAGTCCTATGATAAATTTACAATAGTTGCCACGATTGAGCCCACTGATGCTGTCACTTTGCCAATACATCTGGCTTGAGTCTTACTCTTTTTCTCTGACCCTCCACCTTACCAAACATGATATCCTACTCCAGAGACTGGTCCCTCCTAACACTATGTCCGAAGTATGAGAGAAGAAATTTGCCATTCTGGCCTCTAGGAGCACTCTGGCTGCACTTCTTCCAACATGGATCTGTTTGTTCTTTCAGCAGCCCATGGTACTTTCAATATTCTCCTACAGCACCATAATTCAAAAGTATCAATTCTTCTATGGTCTCCTTATTCACTGTCCAGATTTCGCATGTATATGAGGTTACTGAAAATACTATGGCTTGGGTCAGGCACACCTTAGTCTTCAAGCTGATATCTTTGCTCTTCAACACTTTAAAAAGTTCTTGTGCAGCAGATTTGCCTAATTCAACACGTCTTTTGACTTCTTGGCTTCCTTGAGTGTTGATGGTTGATTCAAGAACGCTAATGGTTGATCCAATGATGATGATACAATGATCCTGAAGGAAAAAGTCCAAGGTACATTGAAGGAATTGGCAAAGAATGTTGTTGTTGTTGTTATTAAGCATGGTGGAGTTGGTTCTGACTCACAGTGACACTGTGCAGGTTTTTGGATGCTATAAATCTTTATAGGAGTAGAATGCCTCATGTTCCTTCTGTAGAACTGCTGGTAGTTTTGAACTGCCAACCTTGAGATTAGCAGCCCGATTCATAACCACTATGCAAAGGCACCATTAATTGATGGAATAAAAACTGAAAACTTCTAAGAAAGTGAGGCTGCACAGGAAGCACTTACTCATCTATGCCAAAAATTTTGGAAGACAACTATCTGGCTGACTGATTGGAAGAGCTCCATTTGTACGCATTCCAAAGAGAGGTGAGCCAATGGAATGGATATATCACCGGACAATATCTTTGATATCCCATGCAAGTAAAGTTTTACTAAAGGTAATACAGAAACAGCTGCAAGCATACATTTACAGAGAACTTCCGGAGATTCAAGCTGGATTCAGAAGAGGGCGAGGAATGAGGTATATCATTGTTGGTGTCTGATGGATCTTGGCTGAAAGAAGAGAATATCAGACAGATGTTTACCTGTGCTTTACTGACTATGAAAAGGCTTTCAATTGCAAGGATCATGATAAGCTATGGACAACATTGCAAAGTATGAGTTTTCCAGAACACATAATTGTGCTCATGAGGAATCTGTACATGGACCAAGAGGCAGTTATTTGAACAGAACATGGGAAACACTGTGTGGTTTAAAATTAAGAAAGGTGTGTGACAGGGTTGTATTCTTTCACCATACTTATTCAACCTGTATGCCAAGCAAATAATTTGTGAAGCTGGCTTATATGAAGAAAAATGTGACATCAGGATTGAAGGAAAGTTCATTAACAATCTGCGATATACAGATGATACAACATTACTTGCTGAAAATGAAGAGGACTTAAAATACTTACTGATGAAGATCAAAGACCACAGCCTTCAATATGGATTGCATCTCAATGTAAAGAAAATAAAAATCCTCACCTCTGGACCAATCAACTACATTCTTATCAACAGAGAAAGATTGAAGTTGTTAAGGACTTCATTCTTCTTGGATCAACAAATGATTAAGAAATGTACTTACCAAAGAAAAATTGTTTGTGTTTTTGGAACAATAGAAATAATAAGCAAATAATGTTTTAGCCTGCAAACCAAGCAAATAAAACCTGTCTGATTACATGCTAAATTAATAACATTCCAAAGAAGAGAAACTTGAATTAAAACAAAGTAAAGTAAATTTGAGCTAAAATATTCATATTTTGGGAAAATATATGAGATGACAAATATGGCTATAAATGAGTTTGAGATAGAAATATATTTTTAATGAAAATGTTCAATTAAAGCATATTGTTTTTCTCTATAACTACATTTGCAGAAAGACTGTGCTTTTAATTATTCAACACTTAAAAGAATAGTGTAATGTGTTGTAGTTTTAAGTTCTAACACTGAAGTTTATGGGAAGTCTCTAACAGAATTCACTCAGTTTAGCCCTTAGGTGTGGAAAGAGTTGACAGAACCAGCCCTGAGGTATCTAATTGGGTTGGACATGGCACTTACCTGCTTGATTTGTGGTTACATTTACAGACACATACTGCCGAAATCCTGGGCTCAAGTCGGACACTCCATTCACTGCCTCAATCTCAAATGTATAGTTTGTATGAGCGAGCAGATCCACCATCATGACAGAGGTGTTTTTCAGGCCGATTTGCCGGGGAAGGTACCTGACATGACCGCCACACTCCTCACACACACCTGCATGGGAGTTGCACTTCTTGCATGCAATATAATATGACACATCTTTCCTTCCACCAGTGTCAGCAGGAGGAATCCATTCCAGAAACACACTAGTTTCATTAACATTTGAGATGGCATTCCGCGGAGCTGAGGGGGGTCCTGGTTTGCAAAGTAAAGTGAAAAAAACATATTTTAAATAGATATAACTATTATACCCCACCAGTCCCTGTTCTGAAGGGGAAAAAAAATACAATCAATATTTTAAATAGAGAGGATGTATAAGCTATTAATCTGTAATAAACTTTGAGAAAAGTTGTTAGTTTTCTAGTGACAGTAGTGAGATTTTATGACCTATAGAAATAGCTGATCATTTCTACACTGATATTAGTAATTAGGACATAAATGAAAAGGGTCTATTAAGCACAGGTAAAAATGATTTTTTTTTCATTTGTGGTTCTTTATTACAAACTCTGAAGCTAGTAAAAATGCCTTCAGATTACTTCCCAAGTAGATTGCATATTTACTTAATAAATCTACAATCAAATTTGAAGTACTCCCTGATCTGTCAAGAAAGCACTACCACTTAAACGATGGCCAACACAGCAAACTGTAATTACATTTTTTTTATTTAATATTGCTTTAATAAATGCTCCTGTGAGCTGTGAATTTTATTTAACTGAACATACAATATTTATTTTAAAAATAAATAACAAATCACTACACTAGATAGAATAAAAGCAATCAGTTCTTTGAAGATTCGCAGAATTAATTTCAGATAAATAATCAATTTATCACAATATGGAAGTGAAATGCATTCATCCCAAACATTTCAGAAGATCAATGCATTTTAAAGTATTAACTAGTGTAAATTTCCTAACTTCATAAAGAATTTCATAAGTAGTTTATTTTTTAATCGGCATGTTAATCGATGTTGAGGTCATAAAATAAAGAAAATACATCCTGTATCCATTTTATCTTGAATACAGTAGAATATTCCACTAACAATTTAGGAAATCTACACTTAGAATTGCTTACATGTTTTGCAGGGAAAGAGCAATAATAATCTATGTTGTATGCTATTGCACCTATTTCTTAAGCTACTAATTAAAATTATAATAATAACTAAAATTGACTGCATATTTAACTCTATAGAGATTTTCAGATATTTATAATTAAACTTCAGTAATTTGTTAGTGTTCTATGATCAATATTCTCAGAGAAAATGTACATTTATATTTTCTCATTGAGTTAATTAGTAAATCTTTCTCAAAAGGGAATAAAATGGAGTATGGTGGTAACTGAATGATTCATAAGCATCAATTAATCATATTATTTTGTGATATATATATACACATACATTGTATAACATGTATATGTTAACATAATCACCACTTATAATTTATCAAGTCAGGGTTATAGAGGAATAAAATCTAAAAATTTTAAGAATGTTATCTATTATTTGATAATTTAGCTGAAAAATAAATAAACTGAGGAACTAAAAAACTGGCCTTTTTGAGAAAACAAACTCTCCTTCACTATATTTATGATTAAACCTAACTGCAAATATTTCAGTACAAAAGAGTCATTTTTAAGTAGAAACTATTACTTAAGAAGGTAATATAACTATTTATTAAAATCTTTATATTATTTAATAATGGAAATGATCCATAAAATGTAAAATGAGATAAAATTTATAATTAAAATATACAAAATTAGAATGTATAGCAAATATGTCCAATTTAGAAAGATGTCACACTTCTGTGTTATTTCGTTTTCCAAATAATATAAATTTGTATTAAACACTTTGTCTCTAAATCTGTAAAAAGGTATCAATATTCTTATCTGTTTTATACACACAATTTGAGTAGGGGTACATATGCCTCTTAAGTCAAGATGAAATTCATGAAGGAGATCTAAAAATTGAGACAAAATGAACATGTGCCTAAAAATATAATGTAGTGAAATGTGAGTGCTTCACTGATAGCTATGCTGTTTTTGTTAAGTGCTGTCAAGTCATAGTGACCCCATATAGGGTTTCAGAAGAGGAGGTGGAGGGTTTCAGCTGCCAGCCTTGTGGTTAACAGTTCAGTACCTATCATACAGCACCACACCAGGATTGAAATCTGTACTATATGATATACAGACAATAGACATTTAATGGATTTAGGCATGATCATCAAAACTTTGGCTTCTTATGTTCTATTTTTTACTTTGGTTTATAAAATTTAATTTTGCATATTAAAATGTATTATAAACATTTGACTTTGAACAATAAAAGCAAATCCAAAGATCCAAAGAAATAAAACTCATCATTTTCACAAGAACTTTAATCAAGCCCTCTGATTAAGGGGATCAAATAAAGCAGTTCTGATACTATCAATACAACTAAAAACAGACAGACACACAGAGTATATATTAAAAATATCTTATACATGCGTTCTAGTATTCTATTTGAAAAATGCTCACAAGTCAGTGTTTTTTTGAGACACACTATTAGAAATGTGCACATTGAAAGACAGAGCAAATGTGAATACTGATTGTGGACTCAGGTCCTAAAAACGACTGATGTAGACCTTGGCATCAAAGTATAGCCTTTAACCGATTCCAAACCTAGCATGTTTACAGAAAGGGGACACGCAATTATGCTGATAAAGATCATGCCTGGACCACATAATAAATAATATATTGAAAATTAATGATATCTAAAACGTAATGCGATACATTTTCATTGTTCTTAATTTACCACTATATTGCCTAGCTAACTCCCACTTCTACTCCTCAGTTTATTTGGGCTTTCTTTTACAAAATAATCCTTTAAAAAATCTGTACTGCAATTTAAATACTTCACAATAAATCATAGTTTCTGTCTCCTTCATTCAAATTTACATTTCCTGACAAACATTTAATAATGTCATTCACTAACTTGAAGACAAATCAGCCTTAATATAAAAGAATATTTTATAATATTCAGATAATATCAATAATTTGAGTTAAGAAATATGTTCTACTGACACAAAAACTGAATTTTAGATATATTTAAATTTACATCTATATCAATTATATGTAAGTATGTATCAGTGTATGTTTGTACGCTTTTTACTTTACTTAAATATGACTACTAAAATTTCAAAAATCTTAACTTGATGCTCTTGTGTACCATGAAGTCACTTTTGATTCATAGCAACACTAGAGGACAGAGTATAACTACTCCATAGGACTTTCTAGACTGTGATCTTTACAGAAACAGATCACCAGGTTTTTCCTCTGCAGCCTCTGGATGGAGTCAAACCACTGATCTTTCTGTTAGCAGTAGAACTCGAAACTATTGTGCCACCCATACTTCTTGGACTATGACTTAATTAGCTGTAAAACAGTAAAACAAGGCAGATGCTAGAAATTCAAAAAATAATCTCTTTTATGTTTGATTTTATTTGATTTGCTATAGACTGTGGAAAATGTTAAAAGTAGTATCACACAGTAAGCAAATGCATAAATGTGCTTCCTCAGAAATATGCACTGAACTGCTAACAGCAGGGTCAGCTGTTCAAACCCACCAGCTACTCCTCAGAAACCCTATACAAGGATGCTATGAGTCATAATCGACTTGATGGCATTTAACAACAACAACTAGAAAAATATAAAGCACAAGTATTGATAAATGTAGATTCATCTACTACAAATGTTGGATTTCAACAAAAAAATTTTAGTATCAGCAAATCTTTGCTAACATTAGACCAGAATATTTACTAACAGGAAACATAACAGCTGCTTTAAAAACTTAACTAAAAATAAAATTTGCTTCATGTCTGACTCAGTTACAATTGGCCAACCAGAAATTCTCAATATTCTTGAAGTGTTTTCTGTGTTCTTTTGTAAATGAACATTTTTGTTAAGTGGGGCTATTTAGAAAGAGAAGGTAGAGGTGCCATTACTGCATGTCTATAGGATTAGAAAATTGGTTTAGGAAGAAATGATATTTGTACATCTTATCCTTCCTATTTTCCCTATCATGGGGAAATTCAAATTTATGTAGAAGGAGCTCTGGCAGCGTAGTGGTTACAAGTCAGGTTGCTAATCTCACAGTGATCAGTTAAAACTACCAGCAGTTCCACGGGACTAAGAGGAGGCTTTCTAATCCCATAAAGATTTACATCCTAGGAAACCCTATACAGGGTTGCTATGAGTTGGAACTGTCTCCACGGCACATAACCACCTTCATATATATCAAATAAAGCAGTACACACACACACACACACACACACACACACACACACATATCTCACAGAAGCAGATTTAACTAAAGTCATATTTTGCCTATTATAACAAATAAATTGTATCATATAAGGAAATATCTACATTTTAGACTCATGTGTTGACTTTGAAATTCAAACCGTGACTGAAAAAGATTAACTTATCAATGCTTATTCAAGGAGATTGTAATTTGGTGAAAACTCTATTGGGAGAATTAAGCAATATGCCTGTTTTAGAGAAACATGGCAACAGAATTGAACAGGCTCCATTGTGCTATTCCTTCAAATTGGTGAAAATTAGCATCACCACGTATTCATGGGGTTTCCTTACTTGTGCATGCCATTGTGGGTGGATCAGACTCTCTCCTGAAATAATCCTTTTCACAGACACAAGAGGTTGAAGCTTCCTCATGGGTATAACTGTGAGGTGGACATTTGCTGCAGCTCTGGCTGTGAGGTGAGGCTTTGAAGAACCCAGGTCTGCACACTGTCAAGAGAAATAAGAGACTAAGCTTTTCCTGGAAGAGATGCTGTGTTGGTTTTGTGAATAAAACTATTTTGACTAGTATACACAGATTACATATAACATACATCCTTACATTAATTTCAAAATGTTTTCTTAAGTTGTTGGCTCATAGGCTGTATTCAAACACTCAAATGTTTATTTTAAGATTTTTGAATTAAACATGTACGGAATGTATGTATTTTAAGTATAAGGATTTATAAAAATCATACTATATACTAAAAATACCTATATGTATTCCATCTGAACCAGCACTTATAGTACAACTTTAATTTACTATCGTATTATTTAATTAAGGAACTCTGGTAGCATAGTGGTTACAAATCAGGCTGTGAACCGCAAGGTCAGCAGTTCGAAACTACCAGCTTTTCTGTGGGAGAAAGATGTGACGGTCTGCTCCCGTAAGATTAACAGCCTCGGAAACCCTGTGCAGGGTCACCATGAGTCGGAACCGACTCCACAGCACATAACAACAACAACAACAAATTATTTAACTATCATGATATTGAAGAAATGCAAATCTCCCTATATATTCCTAAAATGGTATGGCATACAATAGATGCTCTATAATTTGTTATTGGATTTTAAAATTCATTAGCATGTGCTGAAAGCATCATAGGGTCTGTTATACTATGGAGCACATATAAATAAGTTGGTGTGTTATTCACATTATGTTGATTTCCAGAAAAAGATTTTTACATTTTACATTTTACTCCATTTTAGAACAATTTTGAGATTACTAAATCAACAATTTGTTGTTGGTGGCGTTAAGTGTGTTGAGTTGGTTCCAATTCATAAAGACCCTGTGTAGGGTTTCCAAGGAGCAGCCTGGTGGGTTTAAACAGTCAATCTTATGGTCAGCCCTTCAGTGCTTATCCTACAGCACCACACCAGGACTCCAAATCAACAATGTCATAGAGTCAATTTCAACTCACAGCAACCCTATACAGGATTTCCAAAGAGCAGTTGGCAGGTTTGAAAACCTGGTAGGTTTTCATTCCAGTTGTCTGTACTAATGCTAGTAATACTTATATTATGCAAATTATGTCTTCCTATAAAAAGTAGAAATTATATCTTTTTAAATTTTACTTTCACAATTCCTTTACAGATTCTGAAAACAGTAGATGTTTAAAATTTTTATGCAATGTATGAATGTGTATAATTGAACTATTGAAAATCACACAAAGGAAAAGTGCCTTGATATTTTTGTGACTATTTATAAGTTGGTAAAGGGAGTGCAGTGGCTCTGCATGATAAACACTCAAATGTGAACTATAAGGTGGGTGGTTTGAGCTTACCAGTCGCTTCACAGGAGAAAGATGAGGTCTCATAAACCTATGCAACAACTCTGTGAGTAAGAACCAACTTGAAGGCACTTAACATCAACTATTAGATAAAGAAATGCTTATGAAGTAATTTGTTTCAGTCCATGGATTCATACTTTTTTTTTTTTTTAACAGTCAAGGGAATTACAATGTTGATTACATTACAGACATACACGTACGTTACACGTATGTACTCAAAGTGTCGTGCAATAGAACACTCAGTGATTTCAGGCGTGTCTTAAACCTTTAGACATCTTCTCAAATACATGGCACAACGATAAATTCGGAGACCTAATGGGTAAGATGCAGTCCTGGTGTGGTGCCTAGGGCCAATGCACTGGACTGCAATGTCGGTTCAAACTGCAAATTCAGCGGTTCAAGCCCACCATCCGCTCCCCGGAAACCCACACAGTGTCACCATGAGTCGGAACAGACTTGACAGCACCCAACAACAACAAATGGGTCAGCTAAGGGAAAGATGAGGCTTTCTGCTCTTATAAAGATTAACAGCCTCAGAAATTCTATGTGGGGCTCATCATGAATTGGAACAGATCCGAAGGCTCTTAACAATGGGTAAGAGCATAGCTTCTAGAATCAAGCTGTTTTCATTGAAATTCAGGTACAATCAGCTATTAGATATGTAACTTTAGACAATTTACTAATCTCTTTGGGACTTATATTCTAAATCATTGAAATGGAATAATCATAATACCTTTAGATTAAATGAAATCACAACATGATAACCAGTTTTGTTGTTGTTAAGCACCGTCAAGTCAGCTACTACACACAGCAACCGTGCACAGAGTCTCCGAAGAGCTACAGGTGAGCCTAAACCGCCGACCCTGCACTCTAGACCGATCCTGCAGTCCAGCGCATCAACTCAGAGCGCCACACCAGGAGCCCGTGGTAACCATTTTAGAACAGAGAAAAGCAAATAAAAAACCAATTATTCAAAATTATAATAATAGGTATCCATACCTTTAAAAAAAAATGACATATATTTAATTATATTCTGCCTTCTTCTTAATGAATAATTAAGCCAAGCGTCAATATTACAATTGTCCAGAATTGGCACACTAAGGTCACAAAATTACTTTTTAGAGATTAAGTTATATAAAGTTACTCAAGTCTCTATTTTTTTTTTTATGTTCAGAACTCACTACATGCACTTAAGAATGTTTATTCAAGCAGCAATGCACATTTGCTAAAGCTCAACTGTGATCTTCTATTGTAAAAGAGATTTTTGAAAAACACTATGAATTGAGGTTAATTTCATGTACTTTACAAAATCTTGGGTTTTTAGTAATCCATGCTTAAGCTTTCTAATAGCACCATGAATAATCAGGAATTGACAAAAATTGAGAAGTCACTTTTTCAATGACCTAATTAGAGTAATAGTAAGCCATATTGCTTTTATAAATTCAAAGACAATGTAAAGGTATTCAGAAGATTTTTAAAAATAGCCTTTCTGATAACTTTAGGGACATTCTTGCAGTTAAGTGATTAGGAAAATATTGAAATTATTTTTCATATGATAGGAATGCTGTAGCAGCCAACATCACCTAGCTTTCTGTTTTGTTTTGTCTTTTTAGAAAAAGCCAATTACACTTCACACACTACTAGCCTTCAAAGTCATGGAAAGTTTAAATCCATGCATTCTGTTTGGAATTCTCATTCATGAAACCAAAATGAGTTTTTAAATGAGTGCTTTTTAATTTAAAATCTTTATAAAACACTGCTACATAATTCCTATGGGAATTTTTTAAATAATACAAAAAAAAAAGTAAAATGTATGTTAAAAAAATGATCTCTCAGCTCATTCATTCAATACAATCTTTTAAACAACAGGAAGATCAGAACCTTGGTTTTAGAACTCAAAACACAGGGAGATAAATAAGACAGACACAACTTTGGTTTTAAGAATGTTAAAGCTACTGCATGAATAATCATAACTATTATACAAGGAAAGAGAATGAGCAGAGTGGCATGGAAGTAAACATAGACTTCTATAATAGATGGGAACCTCAAGGACATTCTTTAGGAAGCTGTCTCTGCTAAGATTTCAAAGATAAAGAAAATAATCACATTTGATTGATGGTTGTTGTTGTTGTTGTTAGGTGCCATCGAGTTGGCACTGACTCATAGTGACTTTATGCACAGCAGAATGAAATGCTGCCTGATTCTGGACCAGCCTCACTACTGTTACCACGCTTGAGTACATTGATGCTGCCACTTGGCTAATCCATCTCGTTGGGGGTCTTCCTCTTTTACTCTAACTCTCCAACTTACCAAACACAATATCTTTCTCCAGCAACTGGTCCCTCCTGACAATATGTCCAAAGTATGAGAGACAAAGTTTGGCCATCTTGTCCTCCAAGGAGCACTCTGGCTGCACTTCTTCCCAATTGGATCTTTCAGTATTCTCCTACAAAACCATAACCTAAAAGCATCAATTATTCTACAATCTTCCTTCTTCACTGTCCAGCTTTCGCATGCATATAAGGTTATTGAAAATAACCTTATATTTTCAATGGATTGTGTTAGGCTCACCTTAGTCCTCAAGCTGACATCTTTGGTCTTCAACACTTTTAAAGGTCTTGTGCAGCAGATTTGCCTAATGCAATACGTCCTTTGATTTCTTGACTGCTGCTTCCTTGAGTAAAGAATGAAGTCCTTGACAACTTCAATCTTTTCTCCCTTGATAAGAATGTTATTTATTGGTCCAGTGTGGGGATTTCTGTTTTCTTTATATTGAGACGTAATCCATACCAAAGACTGTGCTCTTGATCTTCATCAGTAAATATTTTAAGTCCT